GTGGGGGGCCCAGCCGAGGGCCCGCTGCTGCTGCTGGACTCAGGCCTTGGTGTCAGTTTGCAGGCACGTGGCTCCTGGTGGCCGTGGCCTCTTCGTGCCGCTTCCTGCAGGAGCAGAGCCACCGAGTGGAGGCCACAGCTCTGTCTGTGACCCCCCAGGGCACAGCATTGGCCGTCAGCACCTTCCGAAAGCTGTGAGTCCCCACCCCGTCGTCCTCCCACCTCCACCGCAAGTTGAGCCCACCCCCACCCCTCCAGGCTCCCGTCCTCTTGTCTAGCCTGCTGCTCCTCAGACCTGTGGCCTAGACAGTGCCCTGTGACCTGGCCGGGTCCCCCATGCCGGCTGTGTCCTCTCCCCACCCCCCAGGGACGGGATCTGCTGGCAGGTTCGACAGCTCTGGAGAGATGCGGGGGTTCCGGGGCGGTTCCTGCTCCCAGGTGAGGCTGGGGCTGCCGCACAGGCCGTGGGCAAAGCGAGGCCAGCGTACTGATGTGCCTGTGCCCGTAGCCCGAGGTGCCCAGGGAGCTGTGGACGTGGTGGTCGCAGAGACAGACTACAGGGACTTCGCCATCCTGTTCCTGGAGCGGGCGCGGCAGCTCACTGTGAAACTGTACGGTGCGTCCACACGGGCCCGTCCAGGACGGGCGCTCCCCTGGGATGGGGTGGGGTGACAGCACACAGGACACACATTCTGGCCTGAGCACCCCCAACCCAGACATGCTAAGGACAGCCCCGCACTGACCCCACATCAAACATCCTGACCCAGAGCCCAGTGACCCTCCAGCCCTGCGTCCCCAAGCCGAAGCCCACACCCTGACCCCCTCCAGCCGGCGGCGGAGCCCGCTGATGGTGAGGGCGACAGGGCGCCTGTCTGAATGTCCCTGCGGTGTCCACAGCCCGCTCAGTCCCCGTGAGCGACTCCGTGCTGAGCGAGTTTGAGCGGCAGGTACGGGCTGCCCGGCTGACCGAGGAGCACACTGTTTTCTTCCCCAAGTACGGTGAGTGCCCAGGGCCCCGGAGTCAGGTGGCCCTGACCCCCAGCCCCCACTGATGGACGACGGCCATGCTGCAGGGCGGGCCACACCGCCCCTGACCCTGCTCTGCACCCCCAGGTTTCTGCCAGGAAGCAGACCAGTTCCACCTCCTGGATGGTAAGGGGGCTGCCCTGGTGGGGAGGGGGCAGAGGAGGGGTTGGAGATTGGAGGTGGCACAGCCGTTGAGTCTGCCCGGCAAAGGAGGGGTGGGGGCGACACGGCTGGTGAGGTGGGTCTCTGCTGCAGAGGTGAGACGCTGACTCCCCAGCGAGGGCCGAAGGGGACAGGAGGCACCTGTACGAGAAATGGCCTGCAGAGAAGACCCCTGGGCAGAGAGGGCCCACTGGCCCTCTCCTCGGGGGCCACCACCAGACAATGTAGACTGCCCTTCCGTCCCCCAGAAGTTCCTGGATCCAGCCTCAATCAATCTCCTTCTCATTAAATGCATTCAGACGTCCCCTCTGACCCGTCCTTTGTGGGGCAGGAAGGCAATGCCAGCCTCTCGGTGCCCAGAGACCCTGGTGCCCATGGCAGCCCCACGCCCACCTGCCAGTCAGTCAGAAGAGAAGCATGGCTGGCCATCTGTGCCCCAAACTAGAGGGGCATGTCCACACTGGGTGGGGGCCAGACAGAGGCCAGTGGCCAGAGAAGGTGCACCGTCACTGGGAGGGGTCAGGGGTCTGTGCACTGAGCTGCTAACCACATGGTCAGTGGTTCGAGGCCACCAGCTGCTCCCGGGGAGAAAAGGAGGCTGTCTGCCATGGTAAAGATGTAGTGTTTGGGAGACCCGAGGGGCAGCTTTGCCCCATCCTGTAGGGGCTGTGTGTCAGCTTCGACACCATGGCTGGGAGCTAGGCTTGTGGGGGGTCTGAGAACTGGGGGTAACTCCTGCCCCGCCTTATATACTAGCCTGCCTCTGTCACGCCTGAGAGGCCAGTGCCCACTGTCTGCTGGCGAGATGGCCCCAGCCAGTTGCTGACCCTCACCAAGGGTTCCCAGGCAGTGGGCACGCCTCCCTTGGGAGGCACAGAGAAGCTGGGGCTGGAAGAGACTGAGACACCTGAGCGCCAGGGAGGAAGGGCAGGGGCTGGGCCTCTGGGGGAGCACACCTGGGCCCACGGCCCCCTCTGGGGGCAGCACCATCATCAGAGCTGCTCTGCTGTCCTGGGACGCTTTGTGGCTGGGCCTTGTATGTCCTGGGGCACTGTGTGTTCTGGGGCACTGTGTGGCCATAGGGCCCCTGGAGGTCAGCTGATGGGGCGTGAAGGACCCCTTGTGCTGGGCTCTGGGGAGCGGGGAGAGGTCCCTGCAGCCGTCCTGGGCAGGCGACGGGAGGAGCCAGTAGCTGGGGAGCCCCTCGGCTCCCAGAGAAGCTGGGAAGCTGACTTGGGGCCCCAGTGCCGCTCCTCCTTCCATGACTCCCCCTTTGGGGAGTGAGCTCAGTCCAGCAAGGAAGGTGTCTCCGGCCCGGACCCAGGCTCCTCTGCAGAAGCCTGGTGCTGCGGCAGAGCTGGGGGGACAGCACACGGGCGAGGAAGCCTTGGGGAGGGGCTGCAGAGAGGGCAGCAATGTGCCCCCACTGCCCGGATGGGTGGGGTAGAGTGATTGGGACCCGCTGGGGGGTGGTCATCGACCATGTTGGCAGGGTCTGGGCTCCTTGGAGGCTTTTGAACATAGAAGAAGGCTTTGAATGCTGAAGGGGTGTGGCAGGGCCAATGCAGGTGTGTGTGTGTGGGTGCCCAGGGAGCTTCCCCAGGGGGGTACCAGAGGGCTCCAGGCTCCTGTGGGCCCCCACCCCGCTCCACCCCCATCTGTATGGCAGTGGAAGCCGCCCATCCCCCATGTGTACTGCCTCCCGGTGGAATCCCCTTAGGACAGGGACCATTATCTGGACCCGCACAGTCTGGGAGTCTGCTCCAGCCCGGGGGCCATTGCATCTCAGGCCCCTGGTCCCCTGGAGAGAGCTGGCCGAGTGGCGTCCCTTATTCCCCCACCCCCACCCTGTTAAAGATCTGGCTCCCCTGTCACAACAACCGTCACCTGCCGCAGTGTCGCTCTGAGTGACCCAGTCCAGAAGGGGTGTCTTGAGGTCGTGGGCCTTGGGGTGAAGAAGGCACCCGAGGGCTCAGCCTGGGCTGGTCAGCAGGGAGCGGGGTTTGCAGGGACCTGTGCGACCCCGGGGAGGTTCCCAGAGAGAATGAGGTCGGCGGTGGGAGCACCTTCCTTCCTGGGGGGTGTGTCCTCATCTTCTGGAGTGGGGAGAGGACTCAGGGCTTGGAGTGGAGGCCCCAGACTGGCACCCTGCCCTCCCCCCCAACTCAGGGACTGCAGTGGGGAGCCCCGCCCTCAAGCTGTCTGCACCCTCCAGCCCAAAGGGCCAGTCCAGGGTGCCCCCTGCCCCCAGAGGGAGCCCTCTCCAGCACCAGGTCTGTGTCTGCGGCCCCCGGTGCCCAGGATTAGTCACCTTGCGAGGCTGAGGGGCTAGGCCTACCGGCGGGTCAGAAAAAGGCCAGGGGCCTGGCTGCGAGCTGGTGGTCTCCTTCAGGGGCTGGGACTCTGACCACAGGCAGGAGGGTGGGAGGATAGATGGGCTGGTACCTATTGATCTGTCCCACCCCCCAGCTCTCCCTGGCCCAGTCCTGCCAATCTGGAGGTGGAGGGGAGGGCACCCTGCCCCAGGGCCCATAAGAGGCGTGTCTCCCAGGTGACTGCTCACTGCCACCAGGCATGGGGCCATGGGGTGCCCTGTGGGTGGCGCTGGCCCTGCTGAAGTCCGTACAGGGCCAGACCTCATCCCCCACGGATAAGCCCTTACAGGACTTCCAGCAAGACCAGGTCTGGGGCTGCAGGGGGGGAGGGGGGCCTGCCTGCCCCGGGGAGGGGGCTGCCAGTCTGACTTGGAGTGTGGGGGAGGGGAACGGACCCACTTCCCAGCACAAGAGCTGACCAGGACCCCCTGAGGAGCCCCACGCCAACCCCCACGACCCCTGGTCAGACCCCTGGGTCAAACTCTTCTAGTCCCAAGAGTGGACCACTTCCACTCCTCTGCACAGACAAGGAAACTGAGGCTCAGAGTCACCTGCCCCTGTCCTGCCTTGGGGCTGCCCCCAGCCCGTCCACCCCTGCCTACTTGGGTTCTCGCGAGAAGGGATCTAGGTGGCCTGCAGACAGGACACGAGGGGGTCCAGGCCCAGGCTCTGCCCACCCCACCCCCACCCAGTTCCAGGAGGCTCCAGGCCCAGGCTCTGCCCACCCCACCCCCACCCAGTTCCAGAGGGCCCCAGGTCAGGCTCGGCCCACTGCCTGCCTCCCACACACAGTTCCAGGGTCTCTGGGTCCCAGCTCTGCCCACCACAGTTCCAGGGGTCATGGTACGTGGTAGGCCTGGCGGGGAACACCTTCCGGAAGGAGGACAGGGAGCTGCTGAGCCCGTACACGGCCACCTTCGAGCTCCAAGAAGGTGGCCAAATCCAAGTGTCCTACGCCATGACCCGGTGAGTCAAGAGAGCCGCCTGGCGCTACTGAGGCCGCACAGTGCGTAGTGCCCATGTTGCCTATGGGGGCCCAGCAGGCACCCGTGGGGAGCAGAACTCAGGAGGGGTGCAGGGGAGGGAGGGAAGGGGAAAGAAGGGTACAGGACCCCCGGTGGGTAGGATAGAACTGGGCACTGGCTCGTGTGGGGGACTCGGGACCTCAGTGGGTGCCACTGCAGTGCCCTGCTCCCTCCTCCACCTGACATGACATCCCCCCACCCCCCCGCCCCCAGGGGCCCGCGCTGCATCACCTGGGCATACACGCTGAACCCAGCCAACAAGTCTGGCTGCTTCGAGGTGGACAGGAGCAGGGGTGAGACCCGGGGCAGCAGACAGGGTAGGCGGGGTGCCGGCTGGCGGGTAGGCTGATGGCTGCCGCTGCCCTAGACTTGCAGGCTGACTCTGAGGAGGTCCAGGTGACGGACACCAACTATACCACCTTCGGCCTGTTCCGCTCCAGACGCTGGGCCCCCGGCCACCTGGTGCTCAGGGTCAGCCTGCTGGGTGAGCCGGCCGGGGGCCTGGGGGGTGGGGAGACTGGGTGAGCCGGGGGCATGGGGAGCGTGGGGCCCGGCCACCCCCTCACAGAGCCCCACGCCGGCCCTGGGGTACAGGCAGGACCTGGGCGGTGCGCCCCGATGCGCTGGACAAGTTCTTGTGCCTAATTCAGAGCCACAACCTCTCTGAGGAGCAAGTCGTCTTCCCAGTCGTGAAGGGTAATGGGGGCAGGTCTCCTGGCGGGCAGAGCCTGGGGGCTCTCCTGGGGCACAGGCTGAGGGGTCTCCTTGGGGGGCACAGTCTGGGAGGTCTCCCGGGGCACAGACTGGGGGTCTTGGGTAGGGGCACAGACTGGAGGATCTTTGGAGGACAGACTTGGGGGGTCTTGGGGAGGCACAGACTGGGGGGTCTCCTGGGGGCACAGGCAGGGCTAGTCTCCTGAGGGGAGGGGTGAGAGTGTGCATGTCTCCTGGGGGTGCGGGCAGAGGCTGGGAGTGTTTCCTGGGGGCTCCCTGCCTCTCCCCCAGGAGTCCTGAGGCCGGCAGTGGGGGGGCGCATGCTGGACCCCTTGTTCTCACACTAAAGTGCCCCCCCTCCCATGCGGTGTTCTGTGCCCCGGCCCCACACCCCTTGACCCTGGTCTGGGGCCCTCCTCCTTGCACCCAGGCCCAGATCCCCGCTTTCCCCACCCCACACCCCTCCAGTGCCCCGGCCCTGACCCTGCCCACACCCCTCACCCCAGGCCTAGTTCCCAACCCCTTCTCTACACACCCCTAGCCCATTTCCCAGAGCCTCATCTCCCTGCACCCCAGGCTCCCATTCCTTCCCCTCACCTGCACCCCCTCACGCATGCTCCCCATGTTCTCTGCCTCTGCCCCTCCCTGTGCAGGACTGCCTGGGCCACATGCAGGGTGGGTGGAGGCTATATGTGAGGGTGGGGGCCCCCGGGAGGGTGAGATCAGGGGCCTGGGGGGCCTGGAGAGGGGTCCCCACATCCTACCCTGCACCAGGCCCCACCCTCCGCATTCCCCCAGATCACTCACATTCCAGGGTCTCTGTCTCCTGATCAGATTGGAAGATAGCTCGTGTCTGCTGAAGGAGAGTGGGCTCCCCCGCCCCTGCAGCCCCCATCTCTCGCCACCACTTCTGTCTCCCACCCTGTCGCCTTCCCCTCAGAGAAAAATAAACCCACTTCACCCGCCCTCCAGCCTTTGTGGTCTGGGCCCTGGGGGCGGAGCCAGAACCAGTGGTCTGGGGGCACAGCGTGCCTCCTCTGGGTGCCCAGTGCCCACCCCACCCCACTGGGACCCCTGGTCAGCGTGAGTGTGGTGCGGGCAGGCCCCAGCCTCTGAGGTCCCCAGGGCCTAGAGCTGGTGGGCAGAGGGTAAGGCTCCGGTGGATGGACAGGAGTGGTGCCGGGTGGGCCCACTGTCAGCCCAGGGGTCTGCAAGACCCCCACCAGGTCTAGGGTGCCTGTTGCTCAGCCCCATGGAGGCAGGACTGAGTGCTGTGCCCACATCTCTGGGCTGACCACCTGGGCCCTGCGTGCACAAGGATGACCACTGGCCAACCCCCAACCCCCCCCCACCGGGAGGGCCGGTCCCCAGTCCTCAAAATCCAACCGCCCTCTGGCCATGAGTGCTGGCCTGCACAGCCCTCTGGGCGCCTGCCTTCCTCCCTCCTGCATCTCTGAGGGCTGTCTCCCTTGGGGTGGCTGGTGGGCTAGGACCGCCGGCCATCCTGTGGGCAGGAGAGCCCCTGACCACTGCACCACCAGATCCTCCGGCCTGTGACCACCCCTCAGGGCTCCTGTCTCCACCTCCCTCTGCTTCTTGCCACATGATGGGTGGGGGCAGGCCCAGGAATGCTGGTGGCAGTGGTGCGGTGGGCACAGGGGGTTCCCAGAGGCAGCCCGAGGTGAACAGGAGGGTGGGGACTTCTGCTGGTCCTGTCCCCCCACCCTGAGCAGGGCATGCCCTCAGTCTCCTTACTGGGCCTCCTGGTCACTGTCTGGCCCACTCACCCCACAGAGCGGGGCCCACGGGTGGGAGTGGGGCAGTGATGTGAAGGTGAAGGCTGGCCCCGGACGCCTGAAATGGGGAGAGGCACTTCCCAAAGGCCCCTCCCAGCTGGCCGTGGTCCCAACAGCGTGACTGCCCTGTGATTGCCTGTCCAGGTAGTGGGGGGGAGGGGGGAGGGGGGCAAGCAGGTGGAGCTCAGCAGTGACATGATCGTGGTGACCACATGATGGGCGGTCCAAAAATACCAGCTACGGGAGCAGCTCGGGTTCAGAGAACAAAAGAGCCGCATTTAACCTGCCTCTGTGGGGACCCCTCCCCCAGGGGTTCTGCGGGCAACCTCACCCCTCCCAGCCCTGACCTTGTCCTTCAGACTCCCTTTTGCAGGCTGGCCTGGCCAGGTGGCCATCCTGGGGGCTGGGGTCTTTGGGAGGGGGTGGCGACCTGGATGGAGGTGCTGAGAGGGAACGGGCTTCCTGCCTGGGTGTCTGTGTTTAGTGAAGTTCCTTGGGGGGCAGCAAGGGGGCCTCACCAGCCCCAGTCCCGGTGGACAGCAGCCCTTCACACGGTGGTCATGCATGGTGGCCACTGGGGCTCAGAGGAGGACTGTCTACCCGATGATACTGAAGCCAGCCACCCGTCCCCCACAACACACACACACACACACACACACACACACACACACACACACACACACACACACGGTGTTTAATTGTGTAAAGAGCCCTGCCAAGCGGGCTCTGGAATGACCAAGGGCAGGGACTTCACCAGCTACCCCTCTCCCCCATCACTCAAAGCAGGATCCTTCTAGCCCAGAGCCATCCCTGGGGTCATCCGCCGGCGTCTCCATGCATTGTCGGGGGTCCCAGGCTCTCATGCCGGCTGCACACACAGCCCAGGGTGATGGGGGTGCACCAGGGCCCGAGACTCGGCAGGGCCCCCTCGGCAGGATGGGCTGGCATCGCTGAGCCACTGTGGGCGGGTCCAGACTGGATGTTGTCAGCCCACGATCCAGGCTTCACGGCTGCATGCCCTCCTGGCCCAGACCGGCTTCTGCTGCCCCGTGCGCTCGGGTGTGTAAGGGACGGTCCTGCTGCACGCTCCCCTGTGTCAGGTCCCATTCACTTGGACCAGGCCTCATGTGGCCTTATGAACTCTGCAGTGTCCCCCGTCTAGCCACCAGTTTATGATAGCTGGCCACAGAGTCTCCGGTTCAAACCCACCAGGGGCTCTGCTGCAGAAAGAGGAGGCCACCACCTGCCCTGCGTGTCACGTGGCTGGGAATTGGCTCAGTGGTTGGTTTGGATGTTGGTTTCTGGAGGAGGCTTGGGCCAAATCCCATCTCCCTGGGGCGGGGGAGCATCCCTGGAAGGACCTATGCCCTCAGTACCCTGGCTGCTCCCTCCCCCTCGCTGGGCACTGCTCCCAGGAGCTGCCTCAGGACCAGGGGCCCCAAACCTCAGCTGAAGCCCTGTCAGCCGCCCCTTCACGGCCAGAAGGTGAGCCTGAGCCCAGACACTAAAGCCACAACTTTGGAGGTGACCATAAGGACACCCCACTGCCCTGAGCAGCCACCGCCCCTCCCAGTGAGATTTCCTGTCCATTCCCCCCACCCGGGCACTGGGACCTGAGGCACAGAGCTCCCCAAAGTGGCCCCTCAGCTGGCTCCTCCTGGCCAGCCTCTGGAGGCGGGGGCGAGGGGCGGGGAGGGCTGGTGCCCGGCAGCTGATGAAGGCTCTGGGGGAGAGGAGCCTTCTGCACAGCCGCTCTCTGAACATGACCCTTCGCCCACCCTACTGGGGAAAGGAAACCATTGTGGCCAGGGGCAGTGTCCTCCCCAGCTGTCCACCCCAAGGTGCCAGCCACACTGGGGAGCTGGCCCCAGGTGCCCCCCAGGGTCTCTTGGGGGGCACCAAACCCAAGGTCCTCCTGTCCTGTGCCCCCTCCCTCATATCTCACTCTGTCTCCCTCCCTGGTCCACCTATCCGGACCCCTCCTCCACCTCCCACATGCCATCCTCCCACCCTGCCCCCTCCCCCTTACCCAGCCTTTCTCCCAAGGGGTGTGGCCTTGCCCTGGAAGATGCCCTGAGCCAGGGGCAGCCCGGCCAGCCAAGCCCTGGGATCAGCACCCTGGGTTGTCCCAAGATGAGGAACTGGGGCCCAGCTCCACGCAGCAGGAAGCTCTGCCTGTCTGAGGTAGGGACACCCTCTAGGGAGCCCCTCCTACAAGTCCTCCCCCCACTGCCCTCTTCCTCCTTCTGCCCCCACCCGCCTCTTCCCCAGACTGGACCCCCCAGGACTGCTGAGGGCCTGGGCTGCATAGGGTCTCCCCCTGGTGGCCGCTCGCTGAACTGTGTCCAGGCTGCTCCGTCTCAGGCTCAGTCAGCCCACTGCCAAACTCTACTGCCCAGACCCCTGCCCCAGGGCCAGCCCGTGGCGGCTCCCTCCTGTCCCCTGAGCCTCGGACAGCCTGGTCTCCCTGCTGCCTGGCTAAGGCCAGTGTCACTTCTTGAAAACAAAGTCCTGACTTCCATTCAGAGCCTCCTGGTTTAGTTCAGTCCTGTGAGAACCAGCAGGTCCCAAGGGCAGGTGGCCAGATGGCGGCCACCTGGTGGGGTCACCTGGGGGGAAAGGCCCCTGAGGAGTCCCCACACGGGGTCTGGGCAGCAACTTGTGGCTTCCCGTCCAGCCTGGGGTGGCCAGGTAGGCCTGCTGCCTCTGTGCCTAAGCACTGTGGAAAAGCCACTTGAACTTTCCATTCAGGGACAGGAAGCCGGGCCCCGAGCCAGGGGCGAGGGGGGAGGGGGGTGGCTTTCTCCAGCCTCCAGGCTGTTCCCACTTGAGTGGGCTGAGGGAAGGCCTAGCAGTGTCCCCATACCTCCTCACACCCCCTCACCCCCTCAACAAGGCCCCTAAGCCACCCGGGACCCCGGAGTGGGAGTGGGGTGGAGAGGAGGGGTCAGGCATGGGGACAGAGGCCCGGGGGAGAGTTCCTGAACTGCATGGTGTGGGCGGGGGTGGGGGGGGCTGTGAGGGGTGGGATCTAGGAAGATACAGTCCCCGTCCCGTCCCCCACCCCCCACGCAACCTACCCTGCCTCGCACCATGTAGGGACAAGTCTGAGGAGACAATGTGACCAGCTGAGCGTGGCCAGCAATTTGGGGATGGGGACAGGGTGCTGGTCTGGGCACGGTGGGAGGACCAGGTAGGGGAGGTTTGGCAGGCCTGCTATGTGCACTTGAGCCATGCCTTCTGTGAGGGCCTGCAGGCTCCCAGCACCCACACTTGTTTCCCAGAGGGTGCTAGGCTGTGGGGGCCAGGGGCTGCCTCCTGGCCACAGAACTGAGGTCCCTTCTCAGAATTCTAGCCTTGCCACACACACTGCTGGGTCCTGAGCCCCCGCCTTCCCCACCTTGCAGCCTGGCTGGCCTCTGACTCAGCCTCTCACCCCTTCACCCTGGGGTGCTCCAGGTCCTGCAGCCTCTCCCTAAATGCTGCCCGACTACCTTGCCCCTGAGGCGGGGGCACAGTGGAAGATGGAGCTGTGGGGAGACCGCTGACCTAGCCAGGGCGCTGGCATGTGTGAGGGTCAGTGGCAGCAGGGCCACAACCCACTGACCAGACTGTCCCCAGCAGGGCGAGCAGACACAATCCAAGGAAGATGGACAGACCCCTTCCCACCGTCACTAACAGCCCCCTCCCACCCAAGTGCCACAACGTGGTCCAGACTGCCTGACCCCTGGTCGGTTCAGGCACCCTCAGCTGGTGGAATGCAGGTCCCATCACCCAAGGGGCTGGGCCAGGGGGCCAGCCTGGGGCTGGGAAGGGGGTCTGACTGGGACAGACCCCCGCCACACCCCACAGCCACCAGTCCAGGGTTGGGCACAGAGGCCCAGGCCCAGTCGTGGCGGCATTTTTCCAACCCCATCCTGTGCCCGGTGCTGCCCTGGCCTGCCACTGGCCCCGGTGTGCCCTGGGGAAGGGCACCTGGCCTAGCACCCAGGAAGTGGGAGTGGGCTGGGGGGAGGGGTGTGGAGGCCAAGTGGCAGGTTCCCAGGGAGGTTTGGACAGTGTGTCCACCCTCCCTCCCCGCCACCCACACCTCCCTTCCTCCGGAGACACACTGTCTCTTTGTGTTTCTTCCAGATGCCTGCAGGGGTGCGCCTGGGGAGCCTGCCCCC